AGAGTAGGAGGGGAGGGGAAAGAAACTCAGAGCATCATGGGGCCCCCAGCAGCCTAGGCCTATAGCAGCATAACTAAGGGAGGGCTCAGGGTCACCTGATCCAGCCCTAACTATAAGCTTTATCAAAAAGGAACGTCTTAAGTCTAATCTTAAAGGTAGAGAGGGTGTCCGCCTCCCGAACTGAGACTGGGAGTTGGTTCCATAGGAGAGGAGCTTGATAGCTAAAGGCTCTGCCTCCCATTCTGCTTCTGTGGACTCTAGGAACCACAAGTAAACCTGCACTCTGAGAGCGAAGTGCTCTGTTAGGATGATAAGGCTCTACGAGGTCTTTAAGATACGATGGAGCCTTGTCATTAAGGGCTTTGTATGTTAGGAGAAGGATTTTAAATTCTATTCTGAATTTTACAGGGAGCCAGTGGAGAGAAGCTAATATGGGAGAGATATGATCTCTCTTGCTAGTTCCTGTCAGTACTCTGGCTGCAGCATTTTGGATTAACTGGAGGCTTTTTAGGGAATTATTGGGACATCCTGATAGTAAAGAGTTACAGTAGTCCAGCCTGGAAGTAACAAATGCATGGACCAGTTTTTCAGCATCACTTTGAGACAGGATGCTCCTGATTTTTGCAATATTGCGCAGGTGAAAGAAGGCAGATCTAGAGACTTGGTTTATGTGTGATTTAAAGGACATATTCTGATCAAAGATGACTCCAAGGTTCCTCACAGTAGTACTGGAGGCAAGAGCTATGTCATCTAAAGTAACTATATGATTAGACAGCAGATTTCTAAGGTTTTCAGGCCCAAGCACAATAACTTCAGTTTTGTCAGAGTTTAGAAGTAAGAAGTTGCAGGTCATCCAGGCCTTTATGTCTTTAAGACATGCTTGAAGTTTGACCAGCTGACCTGATTCATTTGGCTTCATAGATAAATATAACTGAGTATCATCTGCATAGCAATGGAAATTTATGTTGTGCTTCCTGATAATATTGCCTAAAGGGAGCATGTATAAAGTGAAGAGAATTGGACCTAACACAGAGCCCTGTGGAACGCCGTGACTAACTTCAGTTTGTGTGGAACATTCGTCATTAACATGAACAAATTGAAATCTTTCTGATAAATAAGATTTGAACCAACTTAGCGCAGTTCCTTTAATCCCAATAACATGTTCAAGTCTCTGCAGTAAGATGCTGTGATCAATGGTGTCAAAAGCAGCACTGAGATCTAAGAGGACAAGTATGGAGACAAGTCCTTTGTCCGAGGCTAGGAGAAGATCATTGGTGACTTTCACCAATGCGGTTTCTGTACTATGATGGACTCTAAATCCTGACTGAAAATCCTCAAACAAATCATTCTTGTGCAAGTGGTCACATAACTGCTTTGCAACAGCTTTTTCAAGGGTTTTGGAAATAAATGGGAGATTGGATATTGGTCTATAATTAGCTAGGACACCTGGGTCAAGAGTAGGCTTTTTGAGTAGAGGTTTAATTACTGCAGGTTTAAAAGCCTGTGGAACATAACCTGTTAATAGAGAGAGGTTAATCAGATCTAGTATGGATGTGTTGATTAGGGGAAAGATGTCTTTGAGCAGCCTGGTCGGGATGGGGTCCAGGAGCCATGTTGATGATTTAGATGAAGCAATTGTTGAGGTCAACTCAGAGAGATCTATAGGGGAGAAGTAGTCCAAGTATAAATGAGGTCTTACAGATGTTTCTAAAGCCATTGTAGTAGATGGCACATCTGCGAGAGCTGTGGGAGTGGTCCGACCAATTTTTTCTCTAATAGTTGTGATTTTATTTGTAAAGAAGCTCATGAAGTCATTGCTGCTGAGATCTAAGGGAATGTTAAGCTCAACAGCACTGTGGCTCTTTGTCAGCCTGGCTACAGTGCTGAAAAGAAACCTGGGGTTGTTCTTATTTTCCTCAATCAGTGATGAATAAAATGTGGTTCTGGCACTATGAAGGACTTTCGTATATGTTATTAAACTCTTCTGTTATGTTATGAAAAACTCTGCTGACTTAGTGGAGCGCCACCTCCTTTTCATTATTCGTGATGCCTGATTTAGGGAGTGGAGCTGCGAGGTGTACCACGGGGCTAGCCTCCTCTGTTTCACTGCCTTCTTTTTCAGAGGGGCAATGGTATCAAGTGTATTACGCAGGAAGGCTGCAGTACTATCAACAAGATTATCGACTTGTGTGGGAGTAAAGTTAAGGTGGCCTCCTTCCACTGTGTTGGCAAACGGCACTGAAGTAGATAAAGATGGAATTATTTCCTTAAACTTGGTAACAGCATTGCCAGATAGACATCTGCTGTAGTGGAATTGTTTCCCACATAGAGTATAATCCATTAATGGAAATTCAAAAGATATTAGAAAATGGTTAGACAGAAGAGGGTTATGGGGAAAAACTATTAAGTGTTCAGTTTCGATGCCATATGTCAGAACAAGATCAAGAGTGTGATTAAAACAGTGAGTGGGTTTATTTACAGTTTGAGAGAAGCCAACTGAGTCTAATAATGAACAGAATGCATTGTTGAGGCTGTCATTGTCAGCATCTACATGAATATTAAAGTCGCCTACTATGATTATTTTATCTGTACTAAGCACTAAATCAGACAGAAAGTCTGAGAATTCACTTAAACACTCTGACTAAGGCGCAGGTGGACGGTATACAATAACAAATAGAACAGGCTGTGGAAAAAGAAAATAGCAGAAAAAGAAAGCAGTAGCAACACTCCCTCAGGGTATTCCATGTTCCGCGCCAACTGCGATCACACTGACACACCCACCTGTTACCCCTCTTATACTCTCCCGTACTGGTTCCTCCCCAAACCCCACATTGGACAGAACAGTGCAGGTATTTCACAGAAACAATGCTAACCAATACATGCACAGCTTTCAACAACAGTGTCAAACCCATTTGCACACAACAAAACACATGAACATCGGCGGACGGTCAGGGTCGCCACAATACCTTTAAAACACTCTGCAGTGTTCAAAAGGCAATGATCCAAACAAAACAAATACACTATAACTGTATATGCAAACTTGTTATGCAAATTACCCTTGTAAAAACATTATTTTCAAAATAAAAAATACCTAGAAAGCCACTGAACCAGAGCGTGAACAGTAAAAAAATCATGTATCAAAGTACTGCAGTTGTAGGTTACCTCCAAAATGTGTCTTTTTTTGTATTTGTAACAAACCTTTCAGCACATCCCATCTGGAACCAGACATATATTAATGGTGCTTTTCCCACCGTGTGCTCCAGGAGGCGCTACATGAAAATGAGGGAGAATCTGGTCCGGTTCCGCTCGCTCATCCACATGTATGTCAACCGCAAGCAATACGTCAAGGTACATGTTATAGTTCTCATCTCTAGTTAAGGGGAAAGCCAACCCGATCATAACTACATACTCATTCATGCACTTACTGTCAAAGACAATTTGTAAATAGATTTGAATATAGGACAAACTTAGATTTGGTCCAATTAATGTTCAGTTTGTGATTTTGGTGATCTGCTTGCAGATGAAGTTTGCAGCCCGGAGGAAAGCTGAGGAGGAGAGGGGGAGGAGAGAGATGGTAATCCTAAAATGCTCTATACAGAACTTTGTTCATACAAATAATGTGGCAGATCATTTGAGACTCACTTGTACATTAAGAACAGTAACTCTTGCAGGAGCTGACCAAGAGGGAGGTGGTGAATGTCACACACTTAGTGATCCCTGCAGAGCTGGGTGCTTTGTTGCAGACAGCAGGACGTGAGTAGATGTCCTCCTGTCTGTTCATCACATGGTGTGCATGGGTGTTATTCAAAAGCCAGATGGGTGAGAGCACTCTCACCTCATCAGCACAGACAGAAATGATTTAAATAGCCCTGACAGAGTGGGGCAGGAGTGACATCAGTAAATAAATATGCCATTAAACTTGCTTTGATTTTGAAACAACTTTTTGTTTTTATATCCTGTCTAGTCAGTTTCAACAGCAATAATAGAGTAGCATATCTCTTCAATAACCTACATAGAGTATAGCTCTCTGGAGTAACACAATCGCTAAATACGACTCCAAATTGCATCAAACTAAGTTGTGTAATGAATGATTTGATTAATAAAATGCTCCAGTGTGTGTGCTTGTTCACTTGTTGCTCACCCTTCTTTGTCTCCCTCCAGTCAAGAGGGAGTTGCACTCAGACTGCTTGGCTCTGCTTCAGGCTCCTCATATCCAGGAAGAGGCCCAACTCACTCTGCCCCTGGACATCAACAACTACCCATTCTACCGCTATGTACAGATCTACTTCAGGGTCAGATGTGTACATTTGTATACTTACAATATTGCAGTAGTCCGCTTCAGGACTGCAGAAGGGCTTCAGACAGCATGCTGGGTGTTCTTTTATGCTACCATTTCAGAAGTCGCGTGTAGGTGTTCTTCAGATTTGTTCTCATAAACCTACCCTCTCCAACTGCTACATAACCACTAATGGAGAGTTACTACGGGGAAACAAATCATTTTTATCCTACCGGAGTGGAGCCAATGAATTAAGACATGTAAAGACAACACTGGCTCTTGATATTTTATTTTCAGTTAGCTGTTTGGATTATTTTCCTCATCATGACCAATAATATGACTTGTCTTGACAAGCAGTGAGGGAGGACTGTTCTTCTGTATTCACTCTGTGTTTGCACCCTGAAGTGGATTTATTTTTGATTTTGGTGTGCTTCCATCATTTTTTATCACTGTAGGAACCAAAGTTTGGGATGTTGATGGCCCCTCTGGAGTCACCTCTGACCCGCATAGACGAGGACCTGAGAGGGGAGGCTCTGGAGCTCTTCATCATGGTTCGCTGCCCTCTTTTATAGACCCTTTTCTTAAGGCTTCATTTCCCCATGGATCTGGAACTGCTAGACTTTACGATGACATTGTTTAATACATTCGCACACTGCCATACTTGTTTAGGCAGGAGTTCACACACACTCAACATCACACAACATGCTCTGAGTTAGTAAAAGATCACACACATGTGATCACATGCCTATAATTTGCTTTCCCCAGGTGTTACGATTCATGGGAGACCCTCACTTGAACGGGGCGCAGGAAAACATGTTTGGGAATTACATCATCCAAAGGGGTCTGATGTCTCCTGCGTTAAGGGATGAGATCCTGGCTCAGGTTGTCAACCAGGTGTGGAGGAACCGGAACCCTGACAACGCTGAGAGAGGCTGGCTGCTGCTTCTGGCGTGTGTCTGCAGCTTTGCCCCATCGCCTGAGATGGACAAATATCTACTGAAGTAAAAAATACTTTCTTATATAGATGTGTGGAGAAATCATACTAAGGAAATATTTGTAGTAATTTTTATGTGATGATGAAAATTCATTTTAAAAAGAACAAATCAGATTTTTTCTTAGCTTACTTTTTATACCTCAAGTATGAAAATAAGTCAAAATACATTACAGCACTGTAACTCCAGTAATACCTGGTTACAGCTGTGAAGATACCGTCACTAACTTTAATACACAACGTTTGTTCTTCCAATAAAAATAATTTGTCCGTTCCCAGGTTCGTGTCAGACCACACCCCTGCTGGTTGCCAGGCGTTGCTGCAACACAGGCTCATACAAGCCAATCAGAAGACAGAACTAGGCACAGGATCCGCCCCCGAGGCTGCACGGACCTATCCGCTGTCACTGCTGGAGTGGACGGCCAATAGGAAGAAGGCTAACATGGTGTTGCACGTGCACTGTTTTGATGGTGAGATGCAGCTGTCTGTATTGGGATGCCTGGGGTATAAAGCCAGATTACTGTAAACAAACTACACAAACACACAATATTCACAGCTTTTTATTCTTCCTTTTACAATCAGTTGTAAACATATCAGTTTATCAAAGTGTCATATGAGCACTGGGAAAAGGTTTTGAGGTATCTTTCTTAATTTCATACTTTGACTTCACTATGTTTTAAAGGCAAATATTGTACTTTTTACTCCACTACATTTATTTTATAACTTTAGTTATTTTTCAGAATCAAATTAATATAAAAAATACAGTATAATTACACTATAAGACCTCACTGATCTCTGGTGGAAAATTCACAAGCTACCCAGTAGTAATTCAGATTAAATGCATCTAAGTGAGTTAAAACTGGCTCCCTGTTCACCAGCTTCACATTAAATGTGATGTACACAATAAGGCATCAGTAATTATAATACAATAATATGATGCATAGGAATGTGAATTGTGCCATTCTGCATAATGAGCACTTTTAGTATTTTAAGTATGTTTTGATGCCAATACTTTTGTACTTTTACTTAAGTAATGTTTTGAATGCAGGACTTTTACTTGTAACAGTGTATTTTATACTGTTGTTTTGCTACTTTTACTTAAGTAAAGGATCTGAGTACTTCCTCCACCATTGGTGGCAGGGACTATTGGCATCACCTTTCCTGAGTGGGATCAGTTACAGCCTGTGATCATTGATTATTCATTGCTGGTCAGGCTCATGTGATGGGACTTCAGGGCTCTTGGTCTTTGAATTGTGCAGTTTATTACATGTTGCTTTTTAACACGGAACAAATTGGAGTGATTTTAAAACCTGAATTAAAAGAAACAGAAGATATTGTTTGGTTTTCTTACTCATTCATTTCTCTGTATAGGAGGGTCTTTCCTGTGTCCAGTTCACTCCTGGACCAGCGGAGAGGATTTAGCAGGGCACATTCTGCGCCACAGGTGCTCACGTTATACACTCACCCCTTCTCATTATGTTCATTTAGGGATGTTCACTTGTTTTTTTGTGCATAGTGGCATGTCGCCTTTATAAATTCAATGTGAATAATCTCTTGAACCATGGACCATTCTATATATTTTTATTTGTCCTGCTGTACCTTACATGTTTGTTGTAATTGTGAACCTGATTCCAAGTTTTACCTTAAAACATCTCAATATATGATATTGTACAGAGTGCTGTGAGTGCAGCATTAACAGGTACATGCAGGTATTTGAATGATGTGGTCTTGCAGGGGAGTGTCTGACTGGTGGAAGGGGAGTTCAGTTCTGATGAAGGAGCACGGCCAGTGGGTGGAGTTAGCGGGTCACGACTATGTGATGGACCTGATTGCAGACCTGGAGCTTCCACCTGAATTCCCGAAGCAGAAGAGTTACTTTATCATCAGTGCTGATGACCCAGCTAAAGTCAGAGCTAATGCCAGCCTGTCAGTAACACAAGATACATACAAATATATGCATGTACAAACACTTGAAATGTTTATATTACATAAAGAAATGAATTCATCTTTTATTAATTTAAGTCTCCTCTCAGTGCTTTGTTTGGCAGTGGCTTCGACTCAGATGAGGAGCTTGCTCCGTCCTTTCCTCTCAGCAGCAGCAGCAGCAGACCAGCCTACAGTCTGCCTGACTCAGATGGTTACTACAGCCACGGTACGCACACAAATATATCCAAAACATTACTGCTGTATACAAACATATACAGCAGTAGCAAGTGTGTGGACACAGTTATCTATGGACAAAGACAGATATGGTCCATGGTGTAACACCTGTTACTAAAAGCACTGGTTGTAAAGTGTTAGCTGTATGTTTAAAGCCTCTTTGCTGCCTGTCTCTGTCCAGTAGAGTCGGACACGTTCAGCGACAGTCAGACACAGAGAGGAATGGACCGCTACCTGGACAGTCTGTTTGACCCTGTGCTGTCAGACAGCAGCGTAGTGAGTACTGATCCTGATCTACAGTGAACTACACATCCTAGTCGCTTCCTGTCTGTTTTGGAAATATGTTAGTGCTGAAAGGACTCGTTCATTAATTAGTTTAGTCAGATTAATAGTCAAGTGCACTGCAAAGCAGCTCTAGGAAACAAAAGTTGTCATGTCATGCTCCCCCTTCACCTGATCTGCCATCTGAGTGTGAATGGGAGGGGAGCGCTGATGGATGGATGGAGCATGTGATCCACTGCCTCTGTTTGTGTATGAATAGAGCAGACAGGAGAGATGATTAGGTTTCGGAGCGACCTACCGTATTTGACTGTAACAGCAGGCAGCAGACATGCTTATTATTGTGGGTTTACTGTCCTGTCAACAATTTCACACTTGGTTTATTGGTGTGGTGAGAAAAGGCAAAAGGCTCCTAAACAGGGACAAAGTGTAGGTGTACTTGGGAGTACTCAAAGACTGTGTCAAACTATATAAATATCCATATCTAGTGGGAAAATGTCCTTGAGCCCTCTTGTGTGTGTGTGTGTGTGTGTGCCTGCACTGGAGCTTCTCCTTCAGTGTGTACGGTACTTCCTGGGGCATATTCAGTTCCTACTCCCTGAGTCAGACAGGGTCTGAATCAACCAATACAATAAATTCACTTCATGTCATTTATGTAGCTTCTCTCTCTCTCCAACACAAAAACATCTTGTCCTACTCTTCATGTCGCCCCATTGTTTCATCATTGACATTCATCCCTGTCGCTCTGCTGAGACTCTGTCCTGTTACCTGCTTCTCTCTGCCCGCCAGGACATGGAAAAGACTGGACGTGTGTCGGCAAGGATAAAAGGAGGCGGAGGTATAGGTATGACAGGAGGAGGAAGAGGAGAGGGGGAGAGTCAGGCGGCCCCCAGCCGGCCTTATCCACCAGGGATACATCCTGGAGGTAAAACGTGCATCTTGTGTTTGTGCAGATTGCCCATTAGTGTTTCTTTGGATTAATATTTTTGTCTTCTATTTTTCTGTTGTCTGTGTTCACCCGCCTGTTGTTACACACTCAGCTGTTTACTCTCTCATCTTTCATTTTAGTTTTTTACTCAGTTTTTTATTTCCGGCATTTCTTTTGTCCCATAACTCATCAATTTCTCTAACCCGTCATCTCTGCACTGATATCAGTAATTGGGTCCCAAATGCTTATCATGGATGGTTTTGTCCAGGTCCTCACTTCAGGGTTTCCCCTGGCCAAGTTTGAAATACTTTAGGTTTTAAACCTTCACCTCTAAACATTAGACTGAAGGGTTCATGTGTACAGTACGCTAACTTTTATCTGTCACTTTGAGGCTGTAATGAGCAGCCCGACCTCATGGATAATGCATAGACAGTTATTCACCGTAACCACAGGCCACACAGTTCCTCCCCATCTATAGGCACCTGTCACTCTCTCTATACACATGCTCTTCTTTCTTGCAGACACACTCATGCTGTCATTTTGTTTGCTCTCTTAATTTTGTCACTGCTATGCACCTGAACAAAAGGCCCATAGGGAAACCTTTATGTGTCATTGTCCAAACAATCACAGTTTTTTTTTCCTTCACCATGGTTTGGGGAAATACGTAGTACATGATTTTAGGTTTGTGAATGTCCAGTTTGTCAGGTTTCATTTACCGTATTTACAGTATCATTTACCACTGGCAGTTTGTTGAACCCTTAATTACTATTCTGTCTGATGGACAGCAGAGAAAGCAGCAGCAGTGATAGTGACAGAAGCAAATAAGGACAAAGAGAATGACAGCCAATGGCCATGGAGGATATGTGAACCCAGACTGTGCTCCTGACGTTTATTTCTAAACAGAGGCTATGCTCCAAAACTTTGCAATCCACATAGCCTTGTATTAAAAGCATTGTTGTCCACACCACTCAACCCAATGTCACTGTTTTGTGCTGATGTAATGATAGGGGTTTGGAGTTTCTGAGTGCCAGTAGTGCTGCAGGGCTGAGTTTTTAAGGCAGGGCAGCTTTGTAAAGCACATCCCAAACACAGGGGCTGTTCAAAATGTCTGGATTGAACACTTCTGAAAACAACGTACAGCTGAAATGTATTTAAAACCACCTTTGCGAATGTTTTATGAGGAAGGAAATGCACACTTTAAATAACCCTGTTCCCTGCCCGCTGCTCCTCAAGCTGTGCCAGTGCTTCCAGTAGCAGGAGGAATGATGCCACCCATCCCAGCCATGCCAATCCCCTCCCATCACCACCACTATGAACAACACCAACAACAGCAAGAGCAGCAGCAACGGTACCACCATTACAACCAACCCCAACACCTCCACCGTCAGCAGACTCCTCCTACCCGTACTGTGGCCACAAGCATAGCACCCACCCTGTCATCCACTTGTGCACCTCCTGCTGCCCCCTCCTCTGATATAAATGCAGATGTAGCTTCCCACATCAGCGGTGTCTACAGTCTGCCGGGGGTGTCCTCGCACCCAGCCACACCTGTAGTCCCAGGCCTGCCTGTGATGACAGGTGTGCTAGGTACAATCAATGGGTGCGTGTTCGGTTTTCCAGCATGTTTGGCCTAAAGCGTGTGAGCATGGTGGCGTTCCAGTAAAAGCCATAACTTGTGTCATTTTGTTAGAGGTTGTTGTATTTGAGTGTGAGGCTGCAAAGTTTCCCTGTGTGGTTTGTTTGAAGTGAAGGAGCTCACTGAGTGTCTTGCTGTGGACTCTGTATTCTTCTTCTGTTCTTCTACAACAAAACCATTATGACCACATGGTATCTGTGTTTATATGTTTATACTTTGCCAGGATCGGAGCAGGCAATGCTGACTCAACAGCAACAGACCATTATCAACCAGCAAGCTATCATTCTGGTTTGTCACATACCCTTTATCTAACCAACAACTGTTTCATGAAAACACTGTGAATAAGTTACATTAAAAGCAGGGCTGGTGACTCTAGAAAAACAGCAAGAGGAAGCTCGATTTTGAAAGTATACAAACGAAGAAATCCTACCCTTTCATTCTGACTTCTCTCCAAAGTCACTCCTCCAAAACACAATGTGCACTGCAACGCACACTGTCTGACTACTACTTAAAATATATGGTATTGTTTTATTTTGACTTTCAGATGTTAAATCTCAAGTTACTGTAAACTGAGTTTCAGTCCCTGTTAATCCTTGCTTGCAACCTAGTAGCCAAACACCCCTAAGTAATGCTAATGCATCTTTTATATTAATGCACTGTAGATTCTTAATCTGAAGACTATACTGTGCAGTAACATGTTGGAGTCCTGTTGGTGAGATATAGACATGTATATATAAATGCATGTGTGTCGCAGGCCCAGCAGATGACCATGCAAGCCATTGCAATCCAGCAGCAGATGCTGTCCTCCTTCCCCCCCATTGCCCCGGCTCCCCAGTCTCCACCCTCACAGCATCACACATACTCGCAGCAAGGCTCTCACAGCCCAGTGAGTAAATCCACCTGTACAGCACACTCAGTTATGTGATGCACGAATGCGTCCAGGTGTACCCGCCAGCATGTGAGCAAATCAGAAATACTGTCTTGCAATAAAGAAATAATCCAGCTATCACTTCCTGTTTTTGTGCAGACTAAAGAGGGAGAGGAGTCACGGTACAAGCCTGCCTCTGCTGCTGTTCAACGCAAAATGAGTACGCTTGCACTCACTGACACTTTTGTTGTCCTTAAACAGGAGAGGGGAAAACACTAATGCATTACATCACAGTGATTTGAGGTGGGAAAACCCATCAAATCAAAAAGTTGTACTAACCAATGGCAGCTGACACATTTCTGTTACAGAGACACCAGCTGTTGTTTGACACAAAATAGTTTTCCTTTAAAATAAAACTTAATGTTTTAACGAGTGCCTTGGTGTAGGGTTATAAGTATTTGACATCTGTGCTCTAGAATACTGTCTGCTGAAATTTATATAAAAAGAAAATCAAGAAAAAATTACATACCAGGTCCCACACGCGGCCCTCCTCCTGAGAACACGGTCCAGTCCAGTGTGACTAACACCGAGCGCATGGATCCCAGCCACGACATCAAGGACATCATCAAGCAGCACCAACCTGCCAGCACAATAACTTCCACTGGCACACAAAGGTATCACATGTGGTTTTCCAACTAATACGCCTGAGAGATTGACAATAGGCCCTTGATATTTTATCCGTTCTACTTATTTTCATGCGGTGTAGAAAAGGTGATGTCAAAATGTTTACGAAGAAGCCAAACCCTCATGATGAAGCTATGGAGATCCTTAAAGACCAGATTGCCAACCCACCACAGCCGGTACCCTGCCTTTCCTCCTGTCGCACACACATGCACGCACACAAACACACATAACATCTGACCTTGTTTTCTTCCTCAGACTCAGAGGAAGCCACAGTCCTTCAAACATCAAGAACAAGGAGGTATTAAAACTACCAAGACGACTAAGTCTCATGCTGCGGGGCCAGCTAGCTCCAACATAAGCCCCGCCCCTCCTCCAGGTGAACTTTTCACATACGCTGAACGTCCCCAGTAATAAACAGCAGAATGACTGAAAATGTTTTGGCTCATTTCACACATGCATGTGAACATTTATGGAAAGAATATGGTCAAAAACCCTTGTGAAAATGTGTGTGTGTGTGTGTGTCCAGTCTCAAGAGAGCTGCCAATCGAGGAGGAGATTATCCAGACTCAGCTCCATAGCAGAACCAGCGATGAATATTACACTTACTCCAACATCCCCTGGAAGCTCTACATGAGGAAAGAGGTGAATTTAATGAGCTCACACACACACACACACACACAAACATAAATAGACAAAAAGAAAACATCCAGTCATTGCCCAGAAATTTGACAATGCAACAAATTGTTCTCAGATACAATCAGGCACAGTAAACTGTAAACACGAGTATATCCTTCACAGATCATCTTCCACAAAACATTAAGCAGCATTACTCTTCATATTTACTTACATAAATATTTCCGTTGTGTATACAGGTTTTTTATCCTAAAGAGACCTTTAACAGTCCACTGATCCTGGACCTGCTCTTCAGGCAGGTTAGTTTTTCCCAAAACGTCTTTGTGATGACCTGGTTTATAATGTGCAGTTAAGCTGGTAATGCTTTATTGAAGCTAAAATGCTAAAAGCAGTGGTGTAAATAAATACTATACACCAGAAAGTACACTATGATATTGGCTTTTGCTTTATTGGTAATACTCCTTTATAGCAGGAACAGATGAATTGATTCATATTTCTGAATCTGCACAGGTTGTACATGATACCTTCTCTGAGGCCTGCATCCGTATCACCCAGGAGGAGAGGCACATGATGAAAGCTTATTTTGGTACAAGAAAACTAACAACCATCCCTGAAGAACTTTCTCTGCTCAGAGACCCAAGACACTTCTTACTTCACTTCTCTACATTAACGCTAAAGCCTTTTTCTAGTGGGACTGTGAAGCTAGATAAGTAGGGACTACTGAGTGGGCTACATTCAGACAAAACTGCCCAGCAGATTTAAGACAGCACAGGCTCATAGCCAATACAGGGCCCAATGATATGTCAGAACTTCATTTAACATCAGCACTGGGCTTCCATTAAAATGCTCCCTCAACTTTTAGCATAAAGAGTTTGATAACTTGCTTTGGTTTTTTTGACAGTGGAGAATAAGGTGGATCAGGTTTCAGGAACTCGTGATGATAATGTGAAGAAGAAAGTAGTCGTCATGGCCAGAGACTCGTGGGAGATCTACTTCTCCCGCCTCTTCCCAGCCTCCGTGAGTTCCTCTCTTTTTGAGTGTAGCATTTGTATTGCATTCAGTTTCATGTGTTGTTATGTTGCTGTGTGTACCTGATCCAGGGCAGTGTGGGGACCGGGGTGCAGGTGCTGTCTGTCTCTCACAAAGGCATCAAGCTGCTAAAGATGGTGAGGAGCAGCTCTACTGCTCCAGACTACTTCAGAGTGTTGAGGCCTTACAGGTAAAACTCACAGGCTGCGCAGAAACATGGGTGCACTGTGTGTGACATCATACATGGGTCCGCGTTAAGGTTTCATTGCTTCCATATTTAAAAAAAATGCAAAATGCACAAAAAACACACATTATGGGAGGTAAGATAAGCTATTAGTAGTTGTCTATATGCTGGTTTTGCTCACTTTTACTGCAGAGAAATGATCAATCAGGAGGCCTTACAGAACATTCTGCACCATTCTGCATCCAATGACCAAGACATTTGACCCGAGACCGCTCTCTTTTGCTGTGACATTAAAGTGACTTCCTGGTTTTACATATCTCTTCCTGTCCAGCTTCTCGGACATCTTGTTTGTGTCGATTCCATCGAAGAACATGCTGGAGTTCAACCTGACCAATGAGAAGCTGATCCTGTTCTCTGCCAAGGCTTCACAGGTCAAACACATGATCGACTACTTCCTCACAGAGCTTAAGAAGGTGAGAGGGTTTCTGTGTGTGTGTGTGTGTGTGTGTGTGTGTTTGTGCGTGACATAGACTCTGTATAAATATGGACCTCACGACTTCCCTTCACTATGCAAAAGTGAAGCCAAAACACTGTGAGTACAGCGGCTGCCATCTTGGCACCTTGTAACCAGATTCTGCGCAGCAGTGGCTGAGTAGTTGACTGATATATCAAATCACTAATCATCCATGCATTATCTATACCGCTTATCCTAACGAAGTTCGTGAGGGGGGTGGAGCTAATCCTGGCTGAGATTGGGCGAGAGGCGGGGTCCATCCTAGACAGGTCGCCAGTCAATCACAGGACTAACAATTACCAATCACTGCTGTCAAATCATCTGAAATATATCCCTTTTTATATTATCAAATTACTTATCAAAAACAAATGTATCAGAAAAAGTGACCACCTGTACACACATCAGTGTGATATCTACCAAAAATGACAAAGTCTTCTCCTCAGGTAAAAACATGTATTTTAATTGTGCTTTGAATTTTTAGTTTGGCTCGTGTTCCATCCGCTAACATGGAGGGGGTGGGGTTTATGACCTATACTGCAAGCAGCCACCAGGGGGTGATCGACTTGCTTTGGCTTCACTTCTGGGAGCTGTCACGTTGTCCATATACACATAGAGTCTCTGGTTTGGTTTACATGACATTCCTGTTCTGTTGTTTTACATACTGACACCAGCAAACATATGGGTTCAAACAGTAAACTATGCAGGCACAGAGGGATGTGATCATGATTCTTGGCTCATGTGTCCTCTCTCTGGCCGTCAGTCAGTCAGCATGCACAGTGTGTGTCAGTGTCAGCCTGTCTTGTCTGTGTCAGGACTCAGAGTATGTGGTGGCTGTGAGAAACTACATCACAGAGGACAGGACTGCGCTCAGCTTCCACAAAGGAGACATCATCAGACTTCAGCATATGGAAGGGCTGGAGGCCGGTGAGAGCCACAGAAACACACAGACAACTGGCACTGTGGCAGCACAGTTACTGCCTCTGTGAGCCACAAACAGAATGTCTCAGCATCATGCCTTTCACACCATGACTGTGCACGTGTGTATGTGTTCAGGCAAATATTACGGCTACATAGTGAGGAAGAAGGTCATGCTGCTGGAGGAGCTAAAGAGAGACACTCCTGAGTTTGGTAGGTTTGTCGGCGCTGTTGCTCTGCTCTGTGTGAGTCTGGGTGTGTGTTTGTTTGTGGTTTGATGATTTATTTTCTCCTAGTTGGTTTGAATCTGTTTTTGAAGTAGAGCCCTGCCTTCTGTTTTTATTTTTATTAATTTAACTCAGGCTTGAGGATTTGGTTAAAAGAAGAAAAGCATAAACACAATATTTTGAGTTTTTTAATATGACACATACTGTGTTACAGTGTTACCCTGGGCTTTTGCATGTGACAGTTTGGGCTTGTTTCTAACATTTGATGTGTTTCTCTGTTTGCATATCTGTACGTACTGCGACTTGCTGTGTGTGTTTACAGGTTGGCGGTTTGGGGCGGTGCATGGAAAGTCCGGAGTGTTTCCCAGGGAGTACAGCCATCCTGTGGCTGCTCCAGACTTTTTGGTGCTCCCTGCTGGGCGTGCGGAGCCTCGAGATAGACAAGGGCGAGTTGCCGCCTCCGCTACTGTTGCCGTAGCGATGGGCTCAGCTGTAGCTGCCCATGAGCTTGACCTCTCCACAGAGGTACAGATGTCAAGGAACTTGATTGCTACAGATAAACAGTAAAATGCCCAAATGAATCAGAATAAAGAGTTTAAAGCCAGCACAGGTTCTGCATGAATAATATCTTTACATTATGCTATCATCTGCTGTGTATGGATATATTAGGATGTTTTGGACTTGTACATATTTACATTTCTTTAAGTGACACTGTTGCTTAGCTTTTTATTCTGTGGGTGTATGTGTATGTTGACCAGGTGATAAATGAGATGTATGAGGACAGTCTGAGCGGCGAATTGGACGATCTGCCTCTCCAGGGCAGTCAGTACCACCACATGTCTGAGTTTGCCAAGAAATACTTCAGAGAGGCACAAAAGAACTGCAGGTCAGACACACACACACACACACACACACACACACACTGCCTAAACAATGTGAAACAAGATATCTCACATTAAAGGGCTAATGCTCAAGTTTGTTTCTCACAGTGATTAACTGTATTAGATGTTACATGTACAGTATACACACTTGAACTGCTGCCTGTGCTGTGCTGTGCCCACAGTGACCAGAAAACAAAAAAAGGGAAGGAGGGCAAGGATCCTGTTGACATGGTCAAATTTTCCAAGGTAAAACAAAAGAGTTAGCCTCTAAGCACAGCCTTGAAATGCATATATTTATATTCTTACACTGTATATGTTTACCTTAATTCTCATCTATACATGTGTCCTGTGCTTGTCACGTGTTTGTCTCTCCAGTCTCCGATTCAGGAGTCTCTGATCAACTACTCTGACAGCGGGATGAACAGAGTGGCTACTGACATCTTCTTAGGTGAGAGGAGAGTAAAAGAATGAGGGATAGATACAGATAAAGAAGTTGTTTTTGCCCCAGTTATTTTCATATCGCACTCAGATATAGCAAGTATGTGTTAGGAAGTATGTGTTTTAGTATCACAAAGTACCTTGAACTGCTTGTATGCAAAATGGTGCTTTACAAGTGTAATTTGTTTTTCTAGCTATAATGAAGTTCATGGGAGACTACCCACTGAAAGGCCAAACTGAACAGGAGCTGGTCACCACTATACTGAAGGTACGCACACAGTAATATACTAAGATGATAAAGAAGTAGACTGGCTTATACTTGATACATTTCAGTATAATTTAAAATAAATGTCTACAGTAAGCTTCCAATATCTGTGTTTGTTTCTGTAAGAATTAGTTGAATACAGCAATGAGAGATCCTGTGTGTATTTGTACATCTGTGGCACATGTTCCTTCATACATGTGCTCATAAATCAACCTTCTAGTTAAGTGGCGACCATAGCCTGATAAAGGATGAAGCCTACTGCCAGGTGATGAAGCAGGTCACTGCCAACACCAGCTCCAAACCGTAAGACCCTCCTGTATTTTCCATTAAATGCTGACTGGTATGGAGCAGTATGCCGCTACCTGTACAGCCCATGGGGAGGCTCTGTAGTTATGTGTGTGTATTCTGTGCAGGGACAGCTGTCAGAGAGGATGGAGGCTGCTGTACATCGTGACAGCTTTCCATCGCTGCTCGGATGTTTTGAAGCCATGCCTGCTGGCGTTTTTGCAGGACGCCTGTGCCAGCCCCGGGGTGCAGTACCAAGGTAAACGATCTGTCCCTCCATGGAAAAGCTGCTAAAACATCACCTCCATTATTTCATCACCACTGGTCTGACTCTGTTCTAAGTGACTGGAGTGTTGATTGGTTGTTAATTAACAGGCATTGCCAAGGCATGTGAGCAGAATCTGAGGAGGACTTTTCAATATGGCGGACGTGTACAGTATCCCAACAGCATGGAGCTCAAAGCTATGCTGGTTAGTCTCTAATTCAACCCATGTCACTTGACCACTTATTTCAAAGTGTTAAAATACACACCAAACGCCGTGGCAGGAGAATTTGGGGGGGGGGGTCGCTCTACCTTCTGCTTTTACTTCAGAGGCGTTTTATTAGATTCAAGTCAGGGGACATACTTGATGGTCTTCCCAAAGAGGCTGACTTCATGTAGTGCCTTTCACTGATCAGTCACTGAAACTCCAATTTCCACAGGTAGTAGTGTTCCAAGTCAGGAGCACATACCATCTGGTTTTCAATACACAGATGTGGTGTTCTTTTTTTTGAAGATGGCCTCTGCCCCGTTTGTTATTGTTACTATGGCTCTTTACAACCTTTTTTAGCTTATGTTCAGTAGTGACTGATGACCTTGTGCACTCTTTCATGCATATAAAGTCTCACTGTTGTACTTGTTCAGGCAGTTCCTCACCGTGTTGCACTTGACACATCCTAGGAAACAAACTGGGAAAGCTTCTTTTATAACCAGTTTGTTTGTAGTTAAACACCAGATCAGATGCCTTACATTTCAACCTACAGATAATACAATTATTGCAAGATGGTACAATTGTGAATTATTTAACATTTTAGTGATATTGCATGGGGGTACACTCAGTTTTGTTATATTCTGGATGTTTGACCAGTTCGGTAGATTTTATTACAGCCTACTTGTCTTTGTCATAAATAACCAGTAGCCAGTCTGTAATAAGTGTGAAAGGGTAACTAAGCAGTTTAAGGGCTGGTAAACCTTATAACTACAGTGGTATTTCTACCTAAGACATTTGTTGTGACTCTGTTTAGCAGCTGCTTTCCTGCTCTCAGTAACAGCTGTAGCCTATACTCCATGCTGGTGTTAAATCATACAGTGCCTCCTTCTGATTGGTTGTTTGTGTGCAGGCTGGTCGGAGCTCCAAGAGACAACTATTCTTGCTGCCAGGTGGGATCGAAAGGCACTTGAAAATCAAGACGTGCTCTGTGAGTGAGACATAAACAAATTATCCAGTGAAATGAAACTGATTCAGAAAACCAGCAGTGTATTAATGTGTTGCCTTTTTAGACTGGTAGCTGGAGAGAGACTGACTGTAGCAGTGCCTCTTGTCAAATGATTTTTTTTTCATTTCAGGTTGCTTTGGATGTCATCGAGGAGCTGTGCTTTGAGATGGGGCTACACAGGGTGGAGGCGGTGGATGAATATGCCATCTTTTTGGTCACACACAAAGGTAACAAGTAATCTGGAAAAATGCAAACACTCTTGACATATAGCGATGCACTCTAGATAACCAGATGATATCTGACCTGTGTATCTGTGTAGGTCAGAATGTACGTCCCCTGAACAAGCGTGAGTACATCCTGGACATTGCTACAGAGGCAGAGGCGGTGGATGCCAGCTACAGTCTGTGGTTCAGAAGAGTCATATGGAGTCTGGCTCTAAAACTTGATAACGAACTCTATGTTACCATGCACTATAACCAGGTAGAGATCGACTCTGTGAACTGAAGGTCAGCTGGCTCAGTTTCATGCTGTGTAGAAGTTTACAAAGCAGTTCATCACCAGCACATAGACATGGCCGCTGTAGTCCATGTTACAGAATTTATGTCTCATGTTCTTCTCGCAGGTCAAGCAAAGACCAGGTTCACATGAAAAATGGACAGTGACATATAGCATAATAAACAAACACGAAAATTGCACTCTGTGTCTCTTTACAAGGTGTTGCCGGACTACCTGAAGGCGCTGCTGAGTGTAGTTCCTCAGGGTAAGGCCAGTGAACAACATCTGCAGCAGATTGCCAGGCTGGCCGCCCTACAGCACCGTGTCAAGGACGCTGCCTACCTACCCACCATGTAAATACACACAATTGCACAAAATCACATACCACATAGATACAGTATGTATATATACTGTACATGCATGTATGACAGTGACAGATACATCTTCATTCAGTGTATAAGCTCACATTTACAATCCTTCTCCATATGTCTCTCTTTGTATGGTTTTAGCCATGAGATGCAGGAGTGTGTGCCCCCACCATTCTACAGCAAACAGGGTTCACAGCATTGGCTGAATATGACAACTCAACACATGCAGCAGGTCCAGCCCTTAAACCCCCACCAGGCCCGTGCACAGTTCCTTGGTACGACCGCAGCTTTGTGTGTGGGTGCATGTGAACATAACGCACAGTGTAAATATGTAACACTAACTTTCACAGATATTCTATATTATTCATCCATCCATTATCTACACTGCTTATCCTGAAGAGGGTCAGTGACAGACAACCACACACACTCACACACACTCCTACGGGCAATTTAGAGCAAGTCAACCTAAGCTGCATGTGTTTGGACTGTGGGAGGAAGCCGGAGCACCCGGAGAGAACCCACACAGACACAGGGAGAACATACAGCCTCCACACAGAAAGGCATTGGGTTTGCCAGGGCTTGAACCTAGAACCTTCCTGCTGTGAAGCAGCAGCGCTAACCACTGCTCACCATGCAAGTTTGCATAATTATTTGAATTGTCACTTCTGTCTCAAATCTAGTGGGATTCAAATATATGAGAAAATATATCTGCCCTGAAATTGTTGACAGACAAAAAAGACACATCTAAATCCCAAATAACAGTTTTTAAGTGAAGTAAAAGTGCAGCATAGTAGATATTTGTGGAAGTGAGAATATTTCTTGTTCAAAGCTTCACTGACTTCTCGTGGCTTGAATGCACTCATGTTTTTGCCCAGGTATGGTCAGTGCCTTCCCCATGTTCGGCTCCTCCTTCTTCTACATCCAGAGTTTGAACTCGGCATCCATCCATGCCCCGTGCATCCTGGCTGTAAATCTGAATGGACTGCACTTCCTTAACAAGGACACTCACGTATGTTATGTAGCTGAGTCAACTTATTGTCTTTATTCTTATGTGTGTGAACATTTTCGAAACCTAACTGCTTCAATTTTTAGTTTGGAAAAATTTGTTCTGTGTTGCCAGTTTTAATTTTTGATGTCCACAACTTGTGCACACTGTGCTCATTTGAATTGGCCTTGATCAGTTTGAATAAAAACTAAACTAGTGGCGTTGTGTGTGTGTGTGTGTGTGTGTGTGTGTGTGTGACTAGGAGACCATGGTGCGTGTCCCTCTGAAAGAAGTCCAGTCAACTCGCACCCAGAGACCGACATCAGGCTCCAGTTACCCGTATGTGGACATCATGATCGGAGACCTGCTCAACCAGCGCATCACACAGTTGCAGCTGGAGCAGGTATGTGTGTCTGTGCATGTGACACAGACGGGTGAGGTTAAGGAGTTGCTGTCACAAAATGTTTGCGTCAACCTTAAATGCCATGCTGTTTCTGTGTGTGTCCATGTGTGCGTGTTTTTCCCAGGGCCTGGAGCTGTGCCGCGTCATTGCCATGCACATAGAGAACATGTTGTCAGCCAGAGAAAAGAGACTCACCCTGCCACCGAGTGAAATCACTCTGCTCTAGCCCAAATCCACACATGCACACGTAGAGAAATCTCACTTTATGCCTCATAAATGCACTCTAGCTGCTACCTCTATTGTAAAAATAGAACATTTTGCGATGTAAAGACGATGCTTCTGTAAAGTGACGAATGTAAAGTATGGTGATGAATACACCTAGAGTGAGACCTGAAAATAATCATTAATGCTTTTAGTTTGACATTGTTAGCTTCAACTGCTTTAGATCTTGTCTGCCACTGTTGTGTCGGGGGGCTGAGATTATAATGGATAACCTCTTTTTAATTAACTTAAATTCCCCTACTCCAGAGGAATAGGATGATTTGATTCAGCTCCATCCTTGGGCAGTGCTGAATTAAATTAGCTCTGGTGTTGCACTGAACAAGGGTCTAACCCCTGCTGTAGCTTGCTCTGCACACAGAACTGGAATGTGCAAAGCTGAAAAGAGTAACCAGCAAGTTTAGGTTTAACCTTATTGTCCCTTTAACGTTGGTGGGCGCTTATGACTGGGCATAATACACCGTCTAAGTTAGGTTTAACCTTATTGTCCCTTTAACTTTGGTGAGCGCTTATGACTGGGCATAATACACCATCTAAAGGCCAAAACATGACAAAGGCAACTTATTTAGGGAAGCACACTTTGGCACCTAGAGCTTTAGGCCACATCACTGAACACTTTGTACTAAGAAAATGATTTATACAATATATTGTACAATGTATATATTTTTTGTAAATGGCTGCTGTACATAACTAATGTTGTACATTAAAGTTTGTAGCATAATCTGGTGTAAATTTGGTTCTTTTTTTTTTTAAAACAGCTTGTATGAAGAACGTAACATAAACATTTACAACAAGCATAAAGCCAAAGATACCGCAGAGCGAGAGATACAAAGGAATGGGAAATAAAGTAGGTGTCTGAGGTCATTTTGTGTCCAGATTTAGTTGTGACATTGTTGCATCTTATTGTATTTTCTCACTGCGAGTCTCTTAGCAGTTGTGTTTGTGTCTCTTTTTGGGTCATTTTTAATATCTATGTAACAATTCTGTCTCTTATTGAGTCCTCTTTCATTCATTTTTAATATTGGCATTTTGTCTTTTTGTACTTTGCAGTTGTTTTGCATCTTTGGCAGTCATTTTAAGTTGCTGTCTCTTTGCACTTGTTTGTCTTATTGTTTCTTGCTCATTTTTATTGTTTCTCTTTGTAGTCGTTTGATTGACTTTCCAACCAGAACTGTTAACAGTCACTATATACAGGTACTTTGGTCCAGGGCCCCTCTGATCCCTTGGGTCCCCTGTGCCTGGTCCATCTATATGTCCTTTATCTTTTCATAAACCAAAATCCTTCAAAGAAAACCAAATACAACCAGTTTTAACCTCTAAGCAGGAGCAAATTCAAAGTTTTCTTTCTTTTTCCTTATTAGCGCTGATATTTGCTTTATAACTGTTTCATTTTATGTACCGGACCCACCGTTTATTGCTGTGTATCCACTCATATACGTGGGGAGTGTAGCCGGTGCACCCCGTGCTACAAACCGAACACCACCCTCCGGGAAGCTGGGCTGTGTGGGCGTTTCTGGCTAATTGCTCGCAGACTTCGTCGCCCTCATTGGTTCACAACTACGGTTCAGCGTGAACCGGGAGGAGGGGGAGCTATGGTCAAACCCACCGAGCCCCAAACGGCGTCAGGAAGGATAAGATAGCGGAGAGCCGCAGCCCGCAGTAGTTGTGTTGTAGCCCCGCTTTCAGCCTGTATGGGCTAGTCGGCTAGCTAGCTTAGCATCGTCCTACTACGCCGCGCCGCCGAGAAGCCCGGGTCGCTACCTCACGGTTTTCCTCTTCGTTCCCCGCTGCCCGGCTCCAGGATGATGAAGTTTAGGTTTCGTCGGCAGGGCACCGACCCGCAGAGAGAAAAGATAAAACAGGAGCTTTTCGCCTTCAGCAAGGTAAAGTAACGGGACAAGAGGAGCGGGAGGGAGAGAGGGAGAGAGGGGTTCCTCCTCCTCCTCCTCCTCCAAACTAAAACAGTCTTTCTGGAAACTGGTCCAGATTTGATGTCGCTGCAGCGTTTGACCCGGCTGCTCCTGTCCATCGCTGTTTGTCTTGATTTGCAGCTAGAAACTGAGATTAGCTCATAACTGCAGCCCTTGGGAGTCGGTGCAGGGCGCTGTGTTGATGAGTGTTGATTGGCTTTCACCCAAACGAGGCCCGCATTCAAAGTGAGCAGCAGCCAGAACCGGGGAAACTTATCTGTGCAGCCCAAACACCGGATAATGTCAATGATGGGGGATTACTGGGCTGCAGACTGACAAGATTGGCTGTGTTGCAGCAGTTTGATGTGCCCCATATTTGACAAACTGATCAAGATGGCTGTCAGCTCACAGAGGGGGGTTCCCTGTGCTTCTCAAAGTTCAGACCTCTTGTTGTTTCACATTTTGAAACAAGAGGAGCCTTGGCATCAGGGCCACATGGATGCAACTCAGTTAATATGCTGTAAGTCTCAGCATCCTGAGCTCTGGCTTAACATTCATATGGCTCCTTCCCCTCGGGGCCAGTGCAGAGATCTGTTTAAGGGTTTCTGCCATGAACACATTCCACATCCACCCTCAGTAAGCTGCATGTTGGTACCTAGACCACTACTGCTAAACTGGTGGGCAGCACCCATTTGTCAGGTCTCAGGAACATATTGATGATGGTGCATATCAGATATCAGCTGCAGGTGATCGGCAGCTTCAGCCAGCAGGGTGTATTGCACTTAAATAGGCTCCTGTGCGAAGGCAAGCTGGCTGCACACAGCTGCGGCCTTGAACTCGGGTCAGGTGAGGCCGCTGCCTGTGTGCAAGCTCCAGAAGTAGAGCAGAGTGTTCCAGAGAGTAGGGCTGTCTAAATGTTTTAATGCTGAAGGCCGCAATTGACCACACACAGCAGGTGGCAGGACAAAATGAGCTCTGCTCAACGTGATTATTCAGAAAAAGCTGAGGGAAAGTGTAAAGAAAATACAGCACAGCATGATTTTGGCACCAGTGGTTTTCTGTTTGATCACACAAATTATCATAAAGAAACACAAAGTACTAAAATGAGAGAGAACTGTCTTCTGTGGTGAAGGTTTTTATACCAAAGCTTTACCTTGACCTTTACATGCAGCTCTTATAGTGAGCTGCAGGTAAAGATTATTTTCATTATTGATTAATCTGCTGATTGTTTTCTCAAACTAAATGTTGTATCAATAAAATGCCAGAAAATAGTGAAAAGTATCTGCTTATATTTGGGCAGTAGTTGTAAAAGCAGCAAATTTCAGAAGTTTAAACCCCAAACTATCTGGACTGTTTGCTAGAAAATGACAATTAATTGATTATGGAAGTAGTGGTGCAACTACTAATTACTTTAATTATTGACCATTTTTGTTTATTAGCATATTTGGGGCATATTGCATGGAAAGTTCGGACTAACTGGTTATCAAAGTATGAGCCCAAATCAGAAAAAATGTAAAATCTAAATTAAAACTGAAAATAATGTGTAAATCAACTGTGTCCTGTATCACAATGAAAACAATACATCACCACACTGAGCGCGTTCACACACTATTTGGCCATTCACACACCGGTGTCATCACCGGGGCTTCAGTGTCTTGCTCAAGGACACTTAGACATGTGGACTGAACAAGCCGGGAATTGAACCGTTATTCTTCCTGTTGGGAGACGACCTGTTTTGCCTCCTGAGCCACAGCCGTTTAGGGACAGAGGACAACCGTGTGATTCAGTGTGTCGGGCGTCATTTTGTCCTGTTCTTCCTGTAAACAAGTCTTAAGGTGCAACAGTCCCGTGATGTCATTGACGCAATTTGCATTTCAAAATGCGCCACACATTCTCTACTGGGGACAAGTTGGGACTGTAGGCAGGCCAGTCCAGCACTTGCCCCCTTTTCCTCCACAGCCAGGCCTTGGTAATGTGCAGTGTGAGGTTTTGCATTGTCTTGTTGAAGTGTGCGTGGGCATCCCTGGAAAAGATGTCGTTGAAGGCAGCATATGTTGCTCCAAGATCTCTCTGTGCTGTTCAGCATTAATGGAGCCATCACAGAAGTGTAAGTGACCTTTGCCCTGGGCACTGCCACAACCCCAGACCATGACAGACCTTGGCTTTTGGACCTGTTGCTGGTAACAGCCTGGACGGTCCTTTTCATCTTTGGTCCGGAGCACACAACGTCCATTCCTCCCAAAAAGACCTGAAATCCTGATTCGTCTGACCACAGTACACGTTTCACCACGCCACTTATGTACCAAATCACGATTGCAGTCAGCTGTTGACATCACCTGGTTCAAATGGAATCATCATTTCATTGTTTGACCTTGTTACTGGCCCTGAAATGCAACCGTCCTGACGTTTTTGGAATGTGTTGCAGGTATCAGAATTGAAATGTTTATTTTATACAAAACAATTGATGAGGTATCACATCAGATAATGTGCTGCTGTATAGTTTTCTATGTGATCCTGGACACAGATGATTTACACATCACTGTTTTCAGTTTTAATTTGATTTTACATACCGTCTCAGCTCTTTCTGGTTTGGGGTTCTAGCTGCCAATTCAGTTTTCTTTCCATTGACTACTTGTTTCCACTCTACCAGAAGTTATAATTGAATATGTTTGTGCTCAGTGAGAAGACTGTTCTGACAACAGTAGAGTGTGCCGGGGTGCGACGTCTACCCGTGTTTGTAGCTCTGTCTGCAGTCAGCTGGTGAAAAGATGGATCGCGTCTAAAGTCCATGAGCTGTTTGTCACACTGTGCCAACACACACACACACACACACACACACTTAGGGCTGTGACTCTTGTTTGTTTGTGTCATGAGATGGATATTTTTTTAACATAGACAGTTGAAGTTAATGTTTTAACTGAGTCTGAAGCTCCTTTTCAAACTTCTTACCCACAGAACCTGAACCTGCTTTGAAGACCCTCTACCTGTGTGTCTGGACATGCTCGCAGCTGTTTCGCCTTTAGAGGGAAACACTGTGAATTTATGTAGATCTCATTTAACCGGGCCCACAGAGCTTTATAAGAACGTTAAGGGACTCTTCCCCTTTTGACGCCTCATTGACTTTACAGCCTGACACAGACACAGGAGGGTGTGTTCTTGGGAAAATGTTAGAAAAATGAATTGGTGTTTTCTTGAGTCACCTGTTAATCTCCATTATTAACCTTTATTTCTGCTCTAGACTGTGGAGCATGGGTTCCCCCATCAGCCCAGTGCTTTGGCCTTTGACCCCAAGCTGCAGCTTATGGCGATTGGCACAAAGTCAGGATCCATCAAAGTGTATCCTTTACCATCAGTGAGCTCATGTGGGAAACGGTAAGGTTGGGAATGCACTCGTTGATAAATAAACAGTCCTGTTCCCATATACCAACAGCTGAGAATGTGAGAGTCAGAGACTTGTGAACAGGCTGTCCCCCCCCCACAGTCCCACTGACTGAGACTGGGTGGGCAGAAGGTCTCTGAGGAACCCTCTGACCGGTGGCCGGTAGACAACCTTCCATTGTTGTCAGGTAGTTTCTTTTGCAGTGCTGTTCTGTTTGACTCTACACCGGCTCTGTAGTGCAGGGACAGAGCTGTCTTCAGCTGTAAGTCTGCGCCTAACGGTTCAGTGTTTTACCCTTCTGTCATGCTCTTACGATGTCATGATGGACGAGATGCACTGGGGCTTTAAACTTGCCTCAAACTGCCCTTGTTGTGATCCAACATCATGTCTACTGAAAAGCCCCACGCTACTATTTAAGGCGAACTGAGCTGTTGTGTTCTGTATTTGCCACGTTCTTACACTGCTGTTGCTTTTCCTGCTCTGATAGTGCCTCACATCACTTCATGAATGCTGAGGGAAACCATCAGCTGTAGCCACAGCCGAGCTGTTTATATAACAGTTCATCAGAGCAGCGTTGCTGTGTGTGCTGTCTGTGGGAAGCTGCGCTGTCTGCACCGCTGCTGTCAATCCCTACAAAACCAGTAAGGTCAGACAACTGGTTATTAGTTTTTCTGGGTTTGATTTTCATAGTTATTCCTGTGTGTTTATAATAAATATCTAGGAATGTGGTGACCTTTCTAGAAAGGTGTCTGGGAGGGGAAGCAGCATGTACAGCTAGGCATGCTGTGAACAAACCATCAGTTTTATGGGAAGAGAAATCAGAGGCAAACATGAATTATTACTGCAGCTGTCTTTGTAAGCACTGGTTACAATTTGTAGTGTGACTGAATATTTACAGATAGTGCTGTAGGGATGACGTATGTTTGTAGACCAACTGTGACAACAGTTTGAGACTTGTGTGTTTTGTTAATCTTCACAAGTGAATCTACACCACGGTCCCATGACTTCAGCGTCACCACCTTGGCTTCCAACTTATTTGAATTAGTACTTTTACCTTTTCTACACAGTCCTTTCTTCTGGGTTTTAGGTCTCACTATGATCCCACTCCCTTCAGTTAACCTTTGTTGAAGTAGTATTGGATAGAATGGCCTAAATGAGGGTTTGTGTTCCTGTCCTGCTGCACTCCGTTGTAATGCTGTCAACGCCATATGACTGCAGAGACCCTATAAAAACATCAACATCATTACATACGGTACTTGGCAGATGATTTTATCAGTGGGGGTCTGGTCTCCACCAGTGTTGAATAAAACTGTTCTGGAAATGTGTTGGTTTGGCTCAAGATGCGACAAAGCCATAATTTGGCTCGGTGTGTCAGTTGTGTCAAATATTCCAGAGGCTAATGCAGTGTCTGCATGACACAACTTGGTGACACGCTGTGGGTCTCTCCATGGCTGCCAGCACGATTACAGTGATGGTTCTGTGGTTTGCAGCAGGGCCACACCAGTCTGCTGCTGTGTTGTTGTAGACAGGTCTGCTAGGTGCCGGCTTTTCCTCGTTTAGTGAACGAGCAGGTGGATTTCAGCTCAGACCATCCACATCTTCAAAAAACAAGTGTGTATACAGTATTAGGCATGCTGCATGTTTCATTTTAAAGCATATGTGCATGATTTCAGCCAGTATGTGCACATTTTTCAGCCTGCAAAGGGAGACTGGCTCTGTGTGTGTGTGTGCGCGCGCGTGCGTGTGTGTGCGCATCAGAGTGGAGAATCAACTCTTTGAGATGCAGCTTTTGGAGAGAAAGACTGGCCGTACCAGGCACTTGCACCCCAGAGAGAGAGAGGGATGAAGGGAGAGATGGAGGAGTAGCGGAGGAGTAGAGATGAAGATGAACAGCAGCAGTGAAGACAAGGGAGTGTGAAAGAGACGGAGGGCAAGCCAGAATGGTTCGACTGTGTGGTTGTACCTACTCTCAGAAAATGACTGATACCGCAAAGTAGTCGTCCCAGCTGCTGTTGGAATTTCTGGAAGGTTAGCGTGTACACTCGGTTATCATTTTATCAGCAAAAACTACCTCACGCTAGTCCAACAGTCCTGCAATAAATCTTCCTTCATGAAGGTGATAATGTTCAGTTTGCGTTCAAACCAACCCAGAGAAGTGTTGATTCAACAGTGTGATCATTTTGGAGGCTGCTGCTGTTGAACTGTTCCTGTATTATACAGAGCTGTTTGTTCTGCCTTCATTGATATAAATGGGGTGCACAAAAAATACCATGTCAGTATAGTGCGGTGCACATTTTCATTGTAAAATGATAGCACACTTTCACCTTTTCAGACCTCTGAAATCATTGGGATGAAATTATTTGAAAAGGAAACATCACTCCATTTCAGCTCCAAGGTTGGTAAATCCAACCGGTGGTCGCTGCGTCTTCCCCCACACGACCACATACAGCCAAGCAGTCAAAACAAACAGGTACTGTGCTCCGGGGGAATCCATTGTTGATGAGCTGATCATTCACCACCACAGAGAGCTTCCCTGTATTTTTCTCCACATCCTCTGGTCACAGTTCAGCAGCAGGAGGTAAAATATATCCACAACACCGGGTGCAGTCTAAAAATTCTGCTTTTATAACAGCACCATGGATATTTATTTATTTTTATAGGCTTTATTGAAAATACAGTAACAAACCAGGCAAAATAACATTTTGCCAATATGGTGGAGGCACCGGTGGGTGTCAGGCAAGCTCACGTGAACGTGCAACTGCCTGGAGATTATGCCCATTCAAGGAAATCCTTACACTCACATAAGACTTAATTTTGGTAGAAAAAAAAGTCTCGTGAGCGACAGTTTGCGAGACTTGTATAAACCGAATTGCTTCTGCATAGAAAAACGTAGGTTCACCTCATTTTTTGGAGCTTTAGGTTGTGTCTAAGACGATAATTCACCGTTGTAACATTGTAGAGGAAAAGCATGACATGGGCTCTTTAAACTAACACACACCAAGTAGTGTGTGTTTTTTATAATGGATGCTTTGATTTTTAAGAATTTCAGTCAGTGGTTTCTTTTCAATATTGATTAACTCTCCAATTTGAGGGGTTAGGAAAAACTGCCCCTTTCTCAAAGTTTGCCAATTGTTTGGCCATCGACTTAGTGGATGTTCAGGCTGCCATAAAATGCAAGTTCCTGCAGTGTTTTTTCACAAGGGGCTGCACCGGTCAGGGGGTGAGGGGTTGCACTGTTATAGGTGTGTACGATTTGGCCACGTTGTGATGAGGTGATGCGAGTGGCTTCATTCGTGTTTCCAGCCTGTGTGTTTTCATTGTGGTTTCATTTGGTTAGCCATGCTGCTAATGTAGCATACTCTAATTACCAATACCAATTTCTATCACCATTGTGTTGTTCTTGATGGATCCCCCTCCAAACACCATTGAAACTTAGGGCTGCACCGGGTGGTCAACAGTTACTGACCTGCCTTCAGTTGAAGCCATGTTTGTGTTTGTGTTGTCTGATAATCTCACGGACTCATTGACTTGGGTGTGACTTGGACTTGCTCGCCCGTATACCTGTTATTACTGTAGCACATGCTTCCAGCTGTAGTGCCTGATGCAGCGTGATGGGAGTTTAGTTGAGTACATATAGAGTTCATGGGCTCAGTCATGAAGGAGTGAAAGACTGAGCTTAGCGGAGTTGTTTTCTTTGAATGTCTCTTTTCTGTCTTGGCAGAATTTCTCCTCCTCTCCCCTTGTTCACATATGCGCTCTCTCTTTTAGCTTCTCACTCAAGTTTCTCACTTGTTGTTTCCTTTTCTCCATCTCTGCCTGTTTATAAAAGCAGAGTCGTATTACACCCACAGACGGGGGTTCAGCAGAGGGAAGGGGACAATGTGTATGTGCGTATGTGTCAGCACGTCATGCGTGGGGGTGGCGGGCGATCTTGAGCAGTCTGTCTCCCGTTGTGGAATGCATGTTGCATTGCCCTGGGTTAACCCTCCCTCTGTGTGTGTGTGTGTGTGTGTGTGTGTGTGTGTGTGTGTGTGTGTGTGTGTGTGTGTGTGTGTGTGCAGACTGGGTTGAGTAAGAGCTCTGTTGCTGAGTCTAGCTTTAATAAAAGAAGCTTTTGAATTGGTTTCCAGGACGACCAGCAGAGTTGCCTGGGATGAGAAGTGCTTGCAGATTAGAGGGTTTTAAAAGTCTACAGCTCAGCACATCACACACAAGAGTTTGTTGGTAGAAATGGATCAGCTATGGGTAAAAAGGTCAAACTGCTTCTTACAGCACCTGTTTCTAACACGTTAAGAACTTGGGCTGAGTGATAGTTTGGGTTAAATTTTTTGGCCCAGCACCAAAGATCCAGCCCCAAAGTGTTTTACAGACGAGATTAGAAGCAAAGGTCAAATGCTGAAATGAGAATAAACCATAAGTAAAACTGAAACTGATGTTCCCCAAATTAAAGCCAATTGAAAAAGGTTTTTCATTTAATTTTAAAAATACCAACAGAGGGTGTCCGACAGTTTGGGGCCATCATGGCAGAAAATAAACCAGTATGAAACTAGGGGCTGTGACATTACCTGGACCACCAAGCGTCAGTATTGATGATCCAGCAGCCAGAGGACAAGATAATATTTACACTGCAGAGCTTTGATGATGTGTTTGCTCCAGCCGTCTGTCTGGCATCCTGTTACACTGTGTGGTTACCCCATGTTGTACTGATTTCCTTGGATCTTATCTCCTAGCCGGTTGTGTCTGCCTGTGCATCAGAGGCTTTGTTGAATGGTTATTTTCATTTCTTCAAATTGTAGTATCAGTTTTGTAGCCACAGTGGCCCCGTGCTCTTTCTCATTGGGCTGCAGGCTGGAATTCAAGAGCAACGTGTCCCTTCACAGTGTGAGTCATGCTCTGTGTCACGAGTTAAAACTGATCTTTTTGTTTCCCTCGTGTCTTCACACATTCAACTGGGTTG